TCAAGTGCGCTGTATTATTAAAAGGTCACTATAGTAACCAGAACCAGCTTAAAGGAACTCTGTAACGTTAGTGATAATATCTGTGTTCCTAAAGCATAGTATTCATGTCCCCAAAAATAAAAATTATTATTTTTTTTTTTTGTTAAATTATTTACTCACCTTCTTTCCAGCGCCGAGTCTCCCTCAGTGGTGCGGCGGACTCCTCCTAGCATGATAGCACAACTTCATCTTCATGAAGTTGTTATAGTGAGTAAGTTGTTATTTTAATGTAGTGGTTCTGGTGTCTATAGCATGTCCCTGCAGGCTTAGCATTGTAAACACTGCCTTTTCAGAGAAAAGGCAGGGTTTACATTGTTGGCTAGTAACAATTCTAGTGGCTGTCACTCAGACAGCCATTAAAGGGACTTCCTTTGTTAGGTCCTCCAATGTCTGCAGGACATAAGAGCCAAGATGCTGCTCATCATTCAATAAATCTGCCTGGACTTTAGACCTATGCTCCGGTCTTATCTCATATGGCTCATTGTTTTTGAAGTTTGGTCAACTCTGGACCGGAGACATGGTCACTACCACTTATGGGTGCCTACCCAACTTTCCGCTATATTCATAATTTCATCATGGGCATTCACAGGCTTGACAATTGCATGGGGCATGCCTTATGCTGAGAGTGGGAAATAGGTTGCCTGTCACTGTAATAGACTTATTTCAACACACAGCTTCCAGTCCTGCCTTGCTCTCACCCTCCGTAAGGTGACAGGCCCTGCTTGGGACCACTTCTCCAAGTATCGTAATCCTCATCCATGGCGACAACATGCTGGCTTCACTGCTTCATAATAGAGTTAAATCAGTCTCTCTATTTCTATGTAAGCATCTCATGTTTGCTGTGGGGATAGCACTGTAATAGAGAGTACAAGGTCTACTGCCTTCCATCAATAAACCATCAGCAAGGAGTTTTATGCCATAACATTAAAACCATCTGCCCAATATCATGTAGGTCCTCCCTTGTTCTGCAGAAACAGCTTTGATGTGTCGAGGCATGGACTCCATGAGACCTCTGAATGTATCATGTTGAATATGCCACTCATTCAAGACATTAGCATCAGATCCTTTAGGTCTTGAAAGTTGCAAAGTGGAGACCTAATGGATCAGATTTGTTGCTCCAGCACACCCCAAAGATGCTCAATCAGATTGAGATCTTGGGAATTTGATGGCCAAGGCAACACCTTTACACTGCTTGTCAGGTTCCTCAAACCATTCCTAAGCATTTTTTGCAGTGAGGCAGGGTGCATTATGCTGCTGAAAGAGGCCAATGCTATCTGGGAACACTGCCTCCAACAGCCTGCCTTCTTCCCATAACGCATCCTGCTGCCAACTCTTTCCCTGGTAAATGATGCACAAGTAGCCGGTCATACATCTAATCTAAAAGAAAATGTGATTTATCAGGCCAGGCAACCTTCTTCCATTGCTCCATGGTCCAGTTCTGCAGTTCATGTCCCCATTGAATGTCCTCATTAGACATGTGCAATTCGTTTTGTTCTGAATGTACATTCGGATGAATTTCGTGCAATTCGGACATTCGGATGCTTATGAATGTCCGAAGTTCTGAATTGTCGAAGTGCTTCGGATTTCTGAAAAGTGGTTAGGGTTAGGGTACGAATTGTCGAACCAAATGCCATTGGTCCGAATTTTCGAAGGCAATTGACAGGGGCCACCATAAACACTATGACCGCTCTGCGGCTGCACAGCCCCATGATTAGGGTTGCCGTGATCTCAAGTGGTTTCTCCAGTGTTTTCCCAGACACTTCATGCTATCAAAGTGCCTTCTTTTATTTGTGTCCAAATTATGCATTCCACAGAACAAATGACACACGCTCCAATGATGTCACGCATCGGACTGATATGTTTTTGTACAGCCCACAAGTCATCTAGAACTCTAAAATTACACTTTTCCAATGGGAAATAAGCCCTGCCTATTTTACACTCACATGCCACACTCATTGGTGCCCTGCACGTTCTTGTACATTCCGTTTCTCTGGTATGTGACTCTTGGTTAGTTCATTGGCTTGTATTCTGTTTATCCTGTTATCTCCTGTCCTTGGGCTTGGCTATTGCTCTGAATCTGTCTCCAGGCCACTCTAAGGACCAGTACACGGGTAGTCTCTCCTTTGTTTTGTTCTGGTTTCTGTGATTTTTTTTCTTCCTACTCCAATCCTTACACCCATGCGCAGAAAACTGCAATGTACTCTGACACTTTTTTTTTTGTATCATGGCCATCATTGTTTTTCAGCAATTTGAGCTACAGCAGCTCTTCTCTGTGATTAGACAAGACGGGCTAGTCTTTGCTCCCTATGTGCATCAGTGAGCCTTGAGCACCCATGACCCTGATTCACTGCTTAGCCTTCCTTGTACCACTTTTGCTAGGTAGTAACCACTGAATACCAGGAATTCATACTGTCAATCCATACCCGTTTGGAACTAGTGTGGTATGCTTTATTATTGACTATCTATTATTGAGCATCTCACTCAGGGCTGTCCCCCTCATATCAGGCTACACTGTTTAATTTGTCCTAGTACATTTTAGAGTTGCTAATAAAGTTATTTTGTTATTTATTATTATTTTCTCCTTTAAGATCTTATTGGAGTGGATTGGAAATTTAACCTTGTGGCCACTTTCTATTCAAGTGACACCTTTGGTTCTCTTCTATTTAATGTATTCCCGAGGGTTATCCCCCTACTTTTCCAGTCTAGGTGACCTTTTTTTGTGGGTTAGGTACGGGACAAGGGTGTTACACTAAACCCCTGTCCTTGACCGCTCCCCTTCTTTTCTTTTTTAATGCAAGGTGTTCTTTACGTTATATGTATTAATTTTCCAACCCCCTTCTCTTTGCATCCCCAGTTTCTTGTGCTTCTCTTCCCATCTCCCCATTGTTTTTATACTGTAACCCCTGAATCTTTTCCTTGTAAATACGTTTAACAAATATAACTTTTTAAGCCTTTTCATACTACTTGTCATTCTGCAGCATGGCTGAACTGTTCATACACTGTTAGTAGGGCTTTCTCCTGCCCAGCCTCAACACTATTGCTCCAGTGCTTGCCTGTACTGTGTCAGCACAGATCATTATCCCTTCTCCACAAAACATTATCGTAGACAATATGCATCCCAGTAGGTATTGTTCTCTATCAAGAGTACCAGATAAGAAAGTGTGATTTGAGGGATTCCCTGCACTTGTCTACTTGCACTGGTGCACATGCTCTGTAGCGCATCCTCACTTACCAACAGGGTCATAAGAACGGAACCCGGTCGGTCAGTGGTATATCCTGGTTTTGTGCTGCCCTAGGCCTTCTAAATACACACTCACCGACAGACACGCATACACACATACACTCACTAATAAACACACCTTAACATACTCACATTAAAAAAAATAAAAATAAATGAAAATCCCCCCAGTCTCTCTACCTTTGGGAGTGCTGGGGTGGATTCTTGCTTTCCCTGGGGTCCAGTGGTGCTGCCGTGTAGTGATGCTGGGGCCAGAGTGACGTCATATTCCAGCTCCGACATCACTGTGTTGCGTGAGAGGGAGCTGAATAGGAGGATCAGTGTTCCCTTGCTGCCCACCCAGAAAGTGCCACCACTGCCAGCCTCGGGGGCCCTGAGGTGGCCATCTCCTTGGCTCCCCAGGACAAGAGGCTGACAAGGCATTTGCCAGGGCGATTGGGGGGCATCTTCTCGCGGTAAATACACTGCTGCGGTCGGTAAGTGAGGAGTAGCTGTATTCCGCAGCACTTTACAATTATAGAACGGAATTGAAAACTTGTGAAAAGGCAGTGCTCAGAACAATACATTACCCATACGCAGCTTCCTACATATTAAACTCTGGTATATGTCAAATTTATACATACATGATGTGTAAAGGCTGAATATTTTATTAGGTTACTGGATTACTGCACTGGTTTGATAAATTACTCTAAATCACAGGAAAATACTACCAAATGATAATTTATGCAAAAAATGCACAATACCACAGATTACCAACAGAATATTTACAGGTTACCATGAAATTGTATCTTGAGATTGGCAAGGGAAAGGTTTAAATTTTTTTTAAAATACAGATTAGGTAACAGCGTACATTAAATACAGATTTACATTTTACAAGGCCACTTAGAATCACCTATCTCAGCAAACAAATGTGGGGATTCAGTTACACCACACGTGTAAATTGTGTTAAGCCCACTACTACAGCAAAGTACCCCAATATCGGTGGGTCCTGCACTCATTTTAATATGGGAGAATAATATGCCAACTATAGGTGCCCCTTTAAAGTTGACCACACGATACCAGAAATTGAGGAGAGTCTCTGGAAGCCGTTTAAGCAGTAAATATTGCCGTTAGCTTTACATTTCCATTTTAAAATTATCCACCGATATTGGGGTAGTGGCATGCCCGTGGTCCTATCACAATATGGTCATATGGTGCAGCTAAATCCCTATATTTTGTTTGCCAAGATAGGCGATTTTAAGTAGCCTTATAAAACGTAAAACTCATTTTTGCATGTTTCCTCTGTTCCCTAATCTGCACTTTGTATATATAATTTGGTGTTTACTGCAGTAAGACTACTTAGAATTACATATTACAGAATTACCGATTCCACTTTTTTCTGTTACAAATTTTTTTTTATAAATCCCCTGCTTTAAAACTGAATATAATCCCCAAGGTTTAAAATATGTGCTCTTTTCAACATGTAAAAATTCGACACCTAACACAGCAGCTTCCCTACAAACTAAATATAAAATACTTATTAAACATTTCCCCCTGGAACTCTGTGTATGTTGAGTATCAGTGTGTGGTATTAATGTGACACACAGCGGAGGGGGCCAGGCGGGCAGTGGTAGTAGTGGCAGGGCTCCCCCCTCCACCCCCCGGGGCAGGCAGGCTGCAGTGAGTGCTAGGCCCGGGCCTGGCCTTGGCTCGGGGTTTACTAGCTGTCTGCTTCGCATTGCGGCCTCCCCCTTCCGCATTTTCCTGAGGCTCTGCGGCAGTGACGTTTACTGCTGACGGCGGCCCCGGCCAGGAGAGCTGCCCGCTCTTTTTTTGCTGCTCTCCCTCCTTCCCCCTCTCTCTCACAGCCATCCAGCTCGGCCCCTCCCTCCCTGCCTCTCGCACTCACTCTGTTACCTTCCCCCCTCCTCCCTCCCTGCCAGGCAGCCATCGCGGTTCGGGCCTATCGGACGGTGAACGCCGAGCCCCGGGTGCGCGGGAAAGCCCGCCAGCGTCCTCTGAAGGTAAGGCCGCGGCGATGGCGGGCGGCCCCGGGGGCCTCCCAGGCCGGTGATGGCGCGCAGGCTCCGGGGTGCGGGGGGGAGGCCGAGAGCCCGGCCGGGGGCTGCAGCTCGCACCGCCCCGCTTTCATTTAGACTCCCGGCTGCGGGGGGACAGAGCCGGGGCGGCTCCCCCGGTCCCTGCGCGCTCTGTGACCCGACCGAGCCGCCGGGTTCCGGGACAGGGGAGCCGGACCGGCCGCTGGGGGGAGGGCCGCGGCCTTCCACGGCCCAGCATGTAGGCCTGCCAGGGGCGGCTCGCCCTCCCAGGCCGCAGCTAGGCCTCGGGGAGAGGGGGGAGAGGGGGGCGAGCGGGGGCTGGCTTATTACAGGAGCCATGGCGGCCAGCCGGCCTGCTCGGGGCCCGGTAAAGCGAGCCTCTATGGCCGCCACTGGAAAGCCCCAGCTCAGATGGCGGCCAGGAATGGAGGATTCCAGAACTTAGAACGTAGAACGCAGGGCAGACAAGATGGCGGCGGCCCCACATGCTGCCGGAGAGGTGGAGGAGGGGACATGGCCGCCATCTTGGAATGCTCTGAAGCAACAAAACAAACCCAGACTGGGGGATGCTGGTCATTAGAGCTTTTATGGAGTACAGCTCTCATAATGCACAGCCAGCCATCCTATATTCAATAACATGTGAGAGTGCTAGTATCTAGTGGACATAAGTGCATGTGTGTGTGTATATCTCTATATCTAGTATACACACCCATATTTCATACCAAATAAATTCATTCCCTATTAAACAAATCCAGACATTTTTAATTTACGTTCCGTCATTGTAAATGTGTTAATTATTTTTTTTATGGTGGTTAGTGTACCTGTGGGGAGCAGGGTGGAGCATGACGTTTTTGCCCTCCTCTCATTATTGGGGAGGTCTCTAGAAATCCATTGTTTTACAATTGTAGCATGAGTTAATATTCTCCAGGATATATTGATAAACTAGGCTTTATGCTCATAAACTCTGATACATTTTATAGTTCTAATGTGGCATTTGTTAATACGAAGTTTATACTTTAATTACCTAATAGCCCTAGTGCCCCCCTGTAAAGCATAACTTATTACCTTTCTTTTAAAACAATTGAGTCTTGTAGCTAGTATATCATTTAACTTTACCAATTACCAAGAGTCAAAAAGGCTAAATTTATATAAAGAGCAAGATTATTTTCTATCTGTACATTACTTTACAATAGGTGCAGAAACTACCCTATGTTTAATGAGTGCAAAAAAAAAAGGTTACCTGTATGGTTTACCTTGGTACTCTTATTAGTGGGTCTCGATGCCGCTGCAGGACAAAACTGTAAAATCTAAAATACATATATTTTTTTAATCTTTATTTTTGAAGTGCAACACGCAATACATGCATTAAAAATGACGTCTAACAGAGGGTACATTTGCAAGATACATGCATGAATAAACTTGAAAAGCTGCACTTTTTTTTTTTTTTTTTTTAGAACAAGAGAAGTAACCTAGGAAATACATGCTGAATAACAAGCTAATCATACATGTCTAGTCCTAGCCGGTATTGTAAGCTTGTAGTTGAATAGAAATTCTAGACATGGCTAAAAAAAAAAAATACTTTTTTGATTGGAGTAACTCTTTAAAGGACCACTATAGGCACCCAGACCACTTCAGCTTAATGAAGTGGTCTGGGTGCCTGGTCCAGCTAGGGTTAACCCTTTTTTCTATAAACATAGCAGTTTCAGAGAAACTGCTATGTTTATAATAGGGTTAATTCAGCCAGTGAGAAGACGACAGCTTCCATAGGAAAGCATTGAGAATGCTTTCCTATGGACTGGCTGAATGCGCGCGCGGCTCTTGCCGCGCATGCACATTCAGCCGAGGAGGAGGAGAGCCCGGCGCTGGAGAAAGAGGTAAGTTTAACCCTTTCCTCACCCTAGAGCCCGGCGGGAGGGGGACCCTGAGGGTGGGGGCACCCTCAGGGCACTATAGTGCCAGGAAAACGAGTGTTTTCCTGGCACTATAGTGGTCCTTTAAGCTAAAGTTGTTTTGGTTTAGATTGTACCTTCACAGCGACACAGTCACCATCTGGAGACTTTGCCGCATTTGCAAAGACCCTCGATGGTGACATTGCCACTGTGGATCTGCAGGCAAAGCTGAGTTCTACATACCTAAACCTGTACTTCTAGAACACCACTATCTTTCCGATTGTTCCTCTTCATCATTGCTGTACTCTTGGGCATACATGAGAGTACAGCATTGAGGTCTACAGAGCATCCCGCAAAACTATGGCAAGACTACGGGATCCTCCATAGATAAAGCCAAATCCCTGGAGCCGTCGCTGGTGGGGGGAGGCACTGACACTTCTAGAACGTGGTAGCTCTGCCCAGTGTCTACAAGTGTCAGGCGTACAAAATATGCAGAGACATAGTAGTCCCTACTTTGTTTCAGTATATCTCTTGATGGAGTTGGAATTTAGTGAATTTCCAACACTGTCAATATGAGTATTTCATAAATATTCTATTTTTGTGCAATACAAATTTTGTGGGTGGTTGGGGGTGTGACAGTGCTGCTTTAAAGTGCAAGAACCTGGTCTGTGCTGCATTTCAGCATGGAATGCTGCCAAATTTGAGAGAGTTTGTCTTCACCTATGGAAAAGTTTAAACTCCAGGTTCCATTAATCAGCCAGCTGTAAACATGAATTTCAGGCTCACTATGTCTATTTTATTTAAGTTATGCCTGGAGCATCTTCATGCTGCTTGTATAATTTGGGTTGAGCTCAAAAGTTTCACTCATGTTTCACATAAAACTGTTCTTTTAGGCTGAGGCCAAGTTATCAGTGAGTCCGAACCTACTCTGCTCATATCACTGGAAGGTATGTAGAGGAGGACAAGGACGGCATGGAGGTGGCGTTGTGCCACCATTGCCTGTCTGTCACCAACATTCTATGTGTGCTGAGGACAGATGCCAAATTTGCACGGAATTCACATTAGCTGCTAATCAAGCCCTGGTGGTTCAGCAGAGTGGTTAAACTATTTATATACAGTGTTTCATAGTTAAATGCTGCAAATGCAGACTAGAGGCACTGTGACAATTTAAAATCACTAAAAGGGTTACTCTAACAATCGTAACCACTACAGCTTGTTGTCTGTGAAACCTGGCACAGTTTCCCTGTTATTGGGGCAAACCAATTGACAATGGTTTTCCTTATTACCTGGTAGTGCTGGTAAGCAGGGTTTACATTTGACTTCTGCAGTGCTGCAGAAGTTAGATGTTGATCATGACGCTCATTCATAGCTGAGCAGCCAATGAATGAGTGTCTGTGCATTTAAATGGCACCAATTCATATTTATTATATTTACTAGTATCTAATTCTATTTACAATTATCCTATGGTCAGAAAATTAAAATGGATACTGTTGAAAGCACTTCATGTCGATCTCACTCTGAGCTCTGCATGCTGCTCACCTCTGTCTGGGGCCACTAAAAATAGCCCCAGCTGACAGAGGGGAGCCCCGGGTATCTATTAATATCTGGGTTTCCTGGTGTGTGCACACACCCCATCTCTATGTATAGGCATTTAAATATATATTTAAGGAGCTGTTTGCAGCGCTGGCTGCCAGCACTGCAAACAACTCCTCAAAACGTTTGGGACCACTACTGACAGGTGAGCCCCAGGTGTCCATTGATATCTGGGACTCTCTGATATGAACAGGGATGTAAACGTGCTCATACCAAATATGCAGGGCGATTTCTGCTGCCCTTCAGGGTTTAAAGTCCACTTTATGTAGGACAACATAGAATACCTTAACTGCGTTAAGGGGTTAAGTAAAATACTATGTTTGTATCATAAGACCTCTATTTTAAATAAAGCCTGAGGGAGTACTGGTTGTTATTATTATTTCGAATAGTGTGTACCCATAGATTTTACTTTGTCACAGCCTTAGCTTCTCTAGCAAGATATATGTTTATATATTTAGATTTAACCTGATAATTTTTTTTATTTTTAGGAGCACAGGAAGAGGTTTTAAAGTCCAGAATTCCATTTACAATACTACAAGGTAGGAGTCAGCATGTGGTTTCAAACGGTATCTTTTTGCAGAATGACATGTATAATGTGTTTGGTTACTGATTACTGTTCTATATCAGTCCCAAGATTTCTTTATTCTGCTTTGGAATACTGTACATGTAAGGTTTGAGGCAGAATTCTTATGAATATAGTCAGGTCACAGATGTAAGTCATAATTCACAAAATTGGTTGTGAACAGAAATTATAAAATGTCCCTTGGCAGCAGCGATTCCTCCCTCACTTATATGAATTCCTCCAAGTTTCCATTCTAGCTCTTCTGTTTTGTAAACGTTCTTCTAATATACCTCAAAACCAATCTGTTCAGAAATGCTTATGGCCTACCAGAGTAACGTCTATGTCACATATCTGTCTTTTGCTCTCTATTAAAGAGTCACACTCCACTCTCACCTTCAGTTCTGCTACTTTTGCCACCTTGTTTGGTTGCTGCCCCCCTTGCAGCCCTATTGTGTTTTATACCCCACCTCCTCTAGACTGTAAGCGTGTTTGAGCAGAGTCCTCATCTACCAATTGTTCCAGTACCATTTTATATGTGTCTTATTTATTGTTAAATTTACCCCTTTTCATAATATTGTAAAGCACTGCGGAATACGTTGGCGCTATATAAATACCAATAATAATAATTATAATAATGTCAGAACTTTTGACTTGTTTATAGATTAAAATATAGTATACTAACAGAAAATCACAACTTTATAGAACTGTGTGCACCTAAAATATCTTGTGTGGTTTGATCCAAGCAACTCATTTGGTTGTCAGAATTTGGCTATGGCTAGTTACCTAATTTTATAACCCCTTCTTTGGAAATTCTCAATGTCAAACTTGCGGTTATAAAATATGTGATAACATCTCTCAGATTTATAATCTAGGCTCAACAAGTCAAGGTGTCAGGTTGCCACGGTGACTCTTCGCTCCAATAATCTATTTTCCCTACTTGTCCACATAAGTAAGCTATAAGGGAACAGGCCATATCTGCCTGCCTCTGTAGCAGTGGCAGCTCTCACTAACAGTATTATCAAATCGTGATGTTATTAGGGGTTGCTTATAGATAAAAGTGTGAGGGATTTTGCGCATACTTTTCAATGCTTTCTTAATGTTATGTGAATGCTAATGTTTTCCTACAAAAAAATAAATAAATCCCTCATGGTGCCCTCCTCCTTCCCAACCTACCCTTAAAACATTGACACTTTAAAATCCTTGTGACAGCCCTACAAATGGTACCAAATAAAACGTTTGAAAGACCTGGGGATAACAACAGTATATAGAAAAGAAGGGAAGTACTATATAATATCCCAAACAAAGACAAGAAAAACGTGCCGAACACCCAAAAGTGTACCTCACATACACCAATATAATAGGAACAAAAAAGTAAATCTATACTGTATAAGATACTGGTATAGATTTTAAAGGGGTAGCACAAAAATCACGAAGCATACAACCTGTAAATAATACAACACAGTCCTTCAAAGGATCTAGAATATAAGAAAAATCACATAAAAGTGAAGCATGTACAAAAATATGTAATTCACTGCCGTAGGTAGAGAACTTACAAGACCATACTGTAGATCTGCGCTTATCTCCCTTCCATAGGGTATATACCGTATTTATCGGCGTATAACACGCACTTTTTCTCCCTGAAAATAGGGGGCAAATTATGGGTGCGTGTTATACGCCGGACCTTTAAATGCTGCAGCCGACTGAGCGCTCTGTCAAGAGCGGTCAGGCGGCTGCAGTTGGTTCTCACCTCCCCTCCCCTGTAGCGTGGCCGAGCTGCTCTGCTGAACAGGAGTTTCTGTTTCCTGTACCCGGTCGGACTGACAGGAAGGTGCACACTGAGCGTGCACCTTCCTATCACTCCGGCCGGGCACCGCGGACAGCAGAGCAGCTCGACCACGCTACAGGGGAGGGGGTAAAAAGAGAGTGGGGGGGGGGATAAAAAGAGAGGGGGGAGTAAGAAGAGGGGAGGGGGGGAAGGGGTAAATAGAGGAGGAGGGGGGTAAGAAGGGAGGGGGCACGAAGAGGGGAGGGGGGAGTAAGAAGGGGAAGGGGGAGTAAGAAGAGGGGGGGAAGTAAGAAAGGGGGGTAAGAAGAGGGGGAAGTAAGAAGAGGGGGAGGAGGGGGTAAGAAGTTCTTTATTTGAAATTTAAGGGTTTTTTTCCTGAAATTTCCTTCTTAAAATGAGGTGCGTGTTATACGCCGATAAATACGGTAAATAGCGATTCTTCTCTCAATAGACTTGTATATGTAGACCAAAGGCGTAAATACAGGACACTCAATCCTCAAAAGGAAAAGAGGTATATAGAGCAGTATTGCAAACCAAAATGGATTTATTAATACAAATTGCACTTACATCAAGTGAAGATTATAGCAGCATATCACCACTAGCAAGTGGTACTTACATCAAGTGAAGATTATAGCAGCATATCACCACTAGCAAGTGGTACTTACATCAAGTGAAGATTATAGCAACATATCACCACTAGCAAGTGGTTAATTAATATATTTTTTATTAATTTTTTTTTATGTGTTTTTAGTTTATTTCTTTTTTTTATATATATATATATATATATATATAATTTTTTATACTACCATAGCGGGACTCCTTCTCTTTGGTACCACTTGCTAGTGGTGATATGCTGCTATAATCTTCACTTGATGTAAGTGCAATTTGTATTAATAAATCCATTTTGGTTTGCAATACTGCTCTATATACCTCTTTTCCTTTTGAGGATTGAGTGTCCTGCATTTACGCCTTTGGTCTACATATACAAGTCTATTAAGAGAAGAATCACTATTTATATACCCTATGGAAGGGAGATAAGCGCAGATCTACAGTATGGTCTTGTAAGTTCTCTACTTACGGGAGTGAATTACATATTTTTGTACATGCTTCACTATTATGTGATTTTTCTTATATTCTAGATCCTTTGAAGGACTGTGTTGTATTATTTACAGGTTGTATGCTTCATGATTTTTGTGCTACCCCTTTAATCTATACCAGTATCTTATACAGTATAGATTTACTTTTTTGTACCTGGGGATAACCCCTGTTGCCAAATATTTTTTAACACTGCAATCATGCCCTTTAAAGGAACATTATAGGGTCAGGAACACAAACATGTGTTCTTGACACTATAGTGTTAAAACACCATCTAGTCCCCCTTAATATAGTAAAATCTTAACTTTATTACAGTTTGCTACTGCTGGCTGTGCCCCTGATCTTCCTGCTTGTTTGACATCAGAAGTGGTGATCTGAGCTAATCACAATGCTTTCCCATAGGAAAGCATTGGGTTGCTGAGATTGTTAAGGAGGCAGATCAGGGGCTGTGCCAGCACAAGCCAAACGCCAAAATCAAGGCATCTCCATGAGGAAAGTTAAGTGTCTCCATGCAGAGGGTAAAGACACTGAATGGCAGTGCTGCACTGCCCCAGGAAGTACCTTTAGCAGCCAACTGAGGAGTGGCCAGTGGAGGTTTCCCTAGGCTGTAAAAGACAGTGTTTATTGCAAAAAGGCCTGAAGGGACTGGTTATACTCAGCAGAACAAATACAATAAGCAATAGTTGTTCTGGTGACTATAGTGTGCCTCTAAGGTTTGTTTTTCTGCTAAAGTGAGAATTGTCTGGAATTCAGAGTGAATTTCTGATTTAAGGTCAAAATAGAATTGGAAAAGTCAGCCATTTTGGTCTAAAATTTTAAATTCACTTTTTGAATTCCTGACAGTTCCCACTTTATAGTAAATAAACCTGTTGGTCAGTTTCAACTTGACTTAGCATGATATCAACCTCCCTCTTCGCAGCATTATGAGTGTTATTCTTGATAATGTGACTAGCTTACCTATAAGATAGTGGTCACGGTTCATTTATGCCAATTATTATTTGAGTGTGCACTTTTTATAAAATGAAAACAGAAGACAGAAGAGCAAGCTGATGTGCCTTATGTGTTTAACAAAGTAAAGGGACACTATAGTTACCAGAGCACCTCAGCTTAAAGGGAAACTCCAGTGCCAGGAAAACAATCAGTTTTCCTGGCACTGCAGGTCCCCTCGCCCTCCCATCCCCGATTGCTGAAGGGGTGAAAACCCCTTCAGGTCACTTACCTGAGACATGTCCCGCGGCGGTGGTTTGTGCTCGCCGCCGCTCCTCCCAGTCATTACATCAGCCGGTTGGCGAGACTGACCTGCCCACAGGCCGGGGAGACCTAATGCTCATGCGCGGCAATGCCGCGCATGCTCATTAGAGCTCCCCATAGGAAAGCATTGGAAATGCTTTCCTATGGGGAATTGAACGACGCTGGAGGTCCTCACACAGCGTGAGGACCTCCAGCGATGCTCTAGCACAGCTTTTATGTGCTATAGAGCAGGAAGTGCCCTCTAGTGGCTGTCTAGTCTAGTAGACAGCCACTAGAGGTGGAGTTAACCCTGCAAGGTAATTATTGCAGTTTATAAAAAGGGTAGTGGGAGTTGGCACCTAGACCACTCCAATGGGCAGAAGTGGTCTGGGTGCCTGGAGTGTCCCTTTAATGTAGTGGTTCTGGTGTCTATAGCATGTCCATGCATGCTATTTTATTTAAAAACATTTTTGTGTTGTTTTTTTATTTATTTATTATTTTACTTTGAATTTTCAGTTTTGTTTAAAGTAATAATTAACATAAAGGGAAGATGATACAACCAAGTAAACAGGTGATCTTATGGGGTGAATAAATTGTTCTGGTACAGTCACATTTGAGTGTCCCTGCATGCTTTTTAATGTAAACACTGCAATAGCCTCCCATGCTGCAGATAAGCAAGGGGCTTGTCCTATCATCCCACCTGTGTTCTTGAATGGTATGTATCTCAACACAACACAACAAAGAACTTGGATAACACTGTGCGTAGATGTAGAAATAACCACATTTCCGAAGTAGTGATTTTACAGTTTTGTTGAAAGAAGTAGACATTTGTAACAACTGTGTATGTAATCCGTATGTAAATTTAAATTGAATGTCTTGATGCATTACATTTTTACTACTTAATCTTTTCAACTATTTATCAAACTTGGAAATATGTGAAGTTGTATGAAACCTGTGCACGTGTGGAGCATTGAGCAGATTGTTTTGTTTTTTAACTTTTTTTTTTTGTTTGCTAACTGTCTTAGGAAGAGAAGCTAATGGTTTTTCATAGTCATGGAAGAAGATGTAGCAGAGCTCGAACTACAGACAACAGAACCACATGCATTTTTTCATGCTGCAGGTATTGATAAACTAATGCTAAATTAATGCAGTTTTAATGTTTGTAAAGGAGTGGGGTTGTGCTCAACAGCAATGTTTGTTTGTTTTTTGGGGGTGCATCAGTATTTAGTGGTTATGGTACTTACACTGCTTCTTTATCAGACCTGCTTCATTTCTTCTCTTACATGCTACAACATACATTTTATACACATAGTAACTGTATTCACTGGCTGCTGTGTCACCTGACCCACTTAGCCAATCAATTACTTTAAAATATGGATTAAATTGTTATTAAATGTAGCTTGCACATTAGCAATAGCTGTGCAGGGACCAGACCTGGATGTATTGGGGAACTCTGGTTTAACTGCTTCAACAGTTTGATAAAAAATCAGGGGTCAGTGCCTGCAGCAAAATGGCACCATAACCACTATGTGAACATGCAGTGGTTATGATTCCAATATTGCAACTTTTATATCATGAGCTCTTCTTAATCGGCACATTTAGCGTTGCTTTGTGAATGTCGCATTTACCGTTGAGTTCCTTTACTTTGTACCAGTTTCAAGGATGCTTGACTTAAAGAAAGCAGCACTGTCACTTAAGTTTTTCATAAAGCTAGATTTAAAAAAAGAAAACTAATTTTAGACCAGCGGTTCCCAAACTGTGTGCCAGGTGCCGTGACGGGCGCACAGAGGCGCTGCGAGATATGATCATAGCACCGGGAACTGTGCTTCACTGTCCCCTGCCAGCTCTGCAGGCCCAAACGGGAGATCAGAGATCTCTCTCACGGGGCCCGCCAACAGTGTATTGCTGGTAGGGAAGGGAGAGAGGACCCTGGGGAGCTCTAACCTGCTGCTCCGCCGGGTACTCCTCTTGCGAGATCGGAGCGTTGCCGCTGTTACCACGGCAACACTCCGGATCTCTCAAAAGTGAACTATAGCCTGAGCTGCAGGCTAGAGTTCACTCTCACCACTGGGACCACCAGGGATTGCAGGAAATGTCCCCCCTCCCAGGCAAAGGTAAGCAGGGAGAGAGGATATGAAAACAATTATTTTTAATAGAATTTTTTTTATATATATTTATTAATTTGCACTCCTACCCCCACAGAAGCACAATTACCCATCCATACACACACTCTGCCCCTCCATATACACACACACACACTGCTTCCCCCCATACACTCACACACTGCCTCCCCATACACTGTACCACTCACAAAACCTACCCCTCACGCACACTGTACCCCTCATACAATCTGCTCCCCTACAGACACTGCCCCCCCACACACTGTATCCCTTACGCACAAACTGCCACACATACACACACATTGCACCCCTCACACGAACACACTGCAACCCTCTCACACACACACACTGCACCCGTCACACACACTGCTGCCCCTAACCCAGCAGATCCCAGGTAAGTTGTCAAACTGTTCTTAAACAGTTTGACTACTTACTCTGGGAGGGCATTACGGCACTACTGGCACCATAACCACTACAGAGTGCTGTACTGGCTATTGTGCCTGGATTGTTTTTTCAAAATAATCTACCAGTGCCCCTCCCAAGCATTTCTGCCGAACAGGAGCCCAGTATTTGCCGCTGCGCTGTACATATATACAACCTAGAAAATTGTTATGACTTGGGGCGCCTTGGAAATTTTTTTTAAATATTAAAGGCGCCTTGAACCTAAAAAGTTTCGGAACCACTGATTTCGACAGAAGATACAAAGTAGCAACTTGTTTTTCTCCCTTGTACAAGTCAAAACTTTGCATATCTTGCCATTTCCTATCAGTCCTTACTCTTGATGACCAGTAGAAAGTGGAATCTTAACATGCGATGTGCATTAGATGCATACGATAACTTTTAGTGCAAGATCAATGGAGGGTCATGGAGCATCTTCGATAGACAAACCCTACTTTTGTGTTAGTGCTTGAGTACACAATTGCCACTGCTCCTGAAGAATGAAGCTTACAGAATTTTAAAATACAGATGAAGAGTGACATGGCGGCAAGGAGAAAGAGTGAGGTAAGTTTGTCTCTCTCTCTCTCTGAGATCTAAAGCGAAATGGTCTCCTGTAGGCAGTAGAAATTTGTAGGTGCTTTCCACTAACTTAACTTACACAATTGTGATCTGCACAATATTTGCACTCACACAAAGTGCTTCAGTGCTACTCCAAAACATTTCTACAGTGAAACACTGAAACACTGAAAACTATTTAACTTATATATTGGTCAGCTGTCGTCTTGTTGCAGCAAGGAAGAGAGTCTGCAAGGTACAGGCTTTCAGGCTAATTGCCCCATGAATGCATTATATGTTGAATGTATTAAACAATGAGGAGTGATTTCCAACTTCCTGGTGTGTTCTATACAGTTTTTCCTCTGTGACTGTCTGACAGCTAACTTTTATTAGAATATATTTTCCCCTTGTGCTGTGGAAAAATTTACTTTTGATATGATCTTTAGAAAGCAGCCTTGTCATTATAATCTCAGGCTTATGTGGGATGGTAACATTAAAGGATATGTAAGTAGGGAGCTTTTTAGTAGACCAGATTGGTATAGTAACTTCCAAATGACTATATATATTCAGAACCGAATTACATGACATTCATGTCATTCTTATTTGCAGTCTTATATTGGGTACTCTAAATGACCGAATCGATGTGTCCATCATGCAATTCTGAACTTGTTTGATGCAGTCATGTGGTGATTCAGTTGTTCGGATGAACCGCTGAATCTGCCAATTATTGTCTGAATTGAAGTTTATCTGAATGCACAAGTCTAGTTTCTACAAAATCTGAAATTAAGCATTTTTAGAAATGAACAACACGAAATCGAAAGTGTACCATTTTTTAGATTTCCTTTTTAATGAGCTGGAGAGAGAAGATAATACAATTATAGTTGTGTCATATTTGAAAAAGATTTTACTTTAGTTTATGGCGACTTTCACAATTTTCTTAAATTGTATCTCAAGATGAGCACAAGGGATAAAGATTTTGTGTTCTCATTCAAATTTCTGATTTCCCCACAGGCAGACCGCATCTTAATGGCAATGAAATAATTGTAGAGATCCAGGAGACTGTCTTTGTTTCTGATGGTGATGGAGGTATGGCCGTACAGGGATTTTCTGATGATGCAGACTCGGTGGTGATCCAGGATGTCATTGAAGATGTGGTAATTGAGGATGTCCAGTGTACAGACATCATAGAAGGATCCCGAGTGTCAGAAACTGTTATCATCCCTCAGCAAGTCCTAGAGGATGAGATAGAAGCAGGATTAGATGAACAAGAGCTTGAAGAAAATGAATTATCTCACTGTGATGTTTCAGAAAGTGTTTTGGACTCTAGTCTCGTTGAAAGCACCTTGTCTGATGGAGAGAATATTGTTCATTCTGTCTCTGAAAACGTGGAAGAAGAGATTACAGAGGACAGTTTAACAGAGGACATGATTTCAGAAGAGGTCCTGGTAGCAGATTGTGCTTCAGAGGCAGTGATTGATGCCAATGGTATTCAAATACAGGGACATGATGGCGAGGAAGTTAATTGTGATGACTATCTCATGATCTCATGTAAGTGTGAAAATAATCATGGCATCAGTGTTTTACATTGTGGTTCAGGAGAATTTCTGTTTGACTTAGGTCAGTTTTGCTGACTTCCATAGAATAAATGCCAAAATCTTTTAGGTTCTGTGTTTGAGTGCTATATTCTTTTAGCTAATATTCAGCCTTGCCGAAAAATACTAAAAAAGGAAGCAACTGCAGTAAAGCAAGGGGAAAATAATTTTTGTGCTCCTGCTGTCCTGTTACAATATTGCTGTTCCCATGTGAACACGACAGTCACAAAAATTTAAGGAAAAGAAAACACTTGACGTAGGTGATCAATTGTGTTCAAAGGTGTAATCCCATTTTATTTGTAGAGCTTGTGTAAGTGACAAACATTTTGGAGCCTAAACCCTGTATCACAGTCCATTTGTGGCATGCCTACTCTAACATACATTTAACCCAGGTAGTTAAGCTCTCTTAGCCAGTCCACTGGATTCATTAAATCAGCACTATCATTTGCCTTTTATTCTTTTGCTTTTTGTTTACTGTATTGCTTGTGAATGTATGGCTTTGACTTTTTTCATTTTTAGTGGATGATGCCGAGAAGATTAATGAACACTGTACAGAGGAAATAACAATGGGAGGAGAGTTAGACGGGGATCCTAGCAAACTGGATGGGTCGTGTCCAGAAGTAATCAAAGTCTACATTTTCAAAGCTGACCCTGGTGAGGAAGATTTAGGTAAGGGATGCCCTTTGCACTGAATCCTAAACATTTTTATTTTTTGCAGCAGTTAGTTGGGAGAATATCCTTGTGTCTGTGTTTGTGAGACATAGACGTAAAAGAAAGTATGCAGACTATTCAATTCCAGCCCTTGTAGTATACTGTGTACAATGTATGTACTGGGTGAGGTGTTGTAGATTTCATTCTCTACAGAGCTTTCAATGGTGAGGGTTTTGTTTTTAACCATTTTTAAATGCTTTATATAGATAATATGCAGTCTGTGACTCTGATCTCTCCCAGGGAAGGTAAGAGAGCACCTTCCCTATCAAACATTCAGCACACACACAACAAAATCAGCACTAGCAACCCAGAGTTCTGTGTGACGCCTGCTTGAATTACTGCTGCTGTAAGTGACTCTGAGAGAATAGTGCTCTCCAGGTGCTCTAAGCACTGTGCACTTTGCCTATACGGACACTTTAAATTGCCAGTGCTATGCTTTTTAAAACCCTCTTTTTTCTTGGTAGTTTTTAGTTTTTTTTTGAATATGTGCATTACAAGGTGCTGAAGATGGATTTCCTGCTATGCACTGTCATTGCCATTACATGCAGCCCACTCACCAGGGCTGAAATTACACTTAATAATGGCGAGTGGGTAAATGAAAATTTTTACTCAAAATTCTTACCAGTTTGGATATCCTGTCTCTTATCTAAGCTAATTTCTTATGTACTTTACCTAAGAAAATTTGCTTACTTTACTATCTTACCTGGATACTTCACTCTTTTTTAAAAATGAAAAGGGGGGGGGGGGAATGTACAAAGACACAAATGTTTAATTATAATGATTTGTAACATTTTATATGAGTGTAGTGTTGTTGTTTTTTCTTGCATAGCTGCAATTATAAGCATAAAGGCTGTGACCTCTGTGCACCATAACCTATGTATTGTTTAGCGTTGCCCTTCATGTTTATTTACTAAAGTGTAAATTATCTGGAGTTTAGAGTAATTTAAAAGAATTTCTTAAAGGACCACTATAGTGCCAGGAAAACATACTCGTTTTCCTGGCACTATAGTGCCCTGAGGGTGCCCCGCCCGGCTCTGGAAGGGGGAAAGGGGTTAAAACTTACCTTTTTCCAGCGCTGGGCGGGGAGCTCTCTGCCTCCTCTCCTCCTCCTCCGTTACGCCCCGCCGGCTGAATGCGCACGCGCGGCAAGAGCTGCGCGCGCATTCAGCCGGTCTCATAGGAAAGCATTTACAATGCTTTCCTATGGACGCTGGCGTGCTCTCACTGTGAAAATCACAGTGAGAAGCACGCAAGCGCCTCTAGTGGCTGTCAATGAGACAGCCACTAGAGGATAGGGGGAAGGCTTAACCCATTCATAAACATAGCAGTTTCTCTGAAACTGCTATGTTTATTAAAAAATGGGTTAACCCTAGCTGGACCAGGACCCAGACCACTTCATTAAGCTGAAGTGGTCTGGGTGCCTAGAGTGGTCCTTTAAGACAAAATTGCTCCACATCCTTTTTGTCGTTGATTGTCATGTTCTTACTTGCCCCCTTCCAGTAGTACACCACTTCTGTGTGAAGTTGTGATGAACTGGGCATGTACATGATTTGGGGGAAGGCATTTAGTGAGAGAGCCGCGTTAACGGTTACTACAAACAACATGATTACTTCAGTAATTTAGAGACACTCTGGGCACCATAACAACTTCATGAAAATGAAGTTCTTATGGTGCCAGGAGACCCCTTATCTCAAGAACATTTTAACCCCAAAGTTGTCTCCAGTGGCAATGTACACCACTCCCTCACCCCGCATCAATTTCAGATTCAGGAAGCATGGAGAGACACTAGTATGACGCTCTCAGCTCAATAGTGACTCCCCAGTTACAAAATTAGTTTGATAAAGATACAATCAGCAGCGCCATATGGCCAGATGCTGCCTAGAGGGGAGTAGACATCGCCGCTGGCAACAACGTGGGGATTAAAGATTAAGTTGTTTTGGCGCCTGGAGTGTCCCTTTAAAGTGATTGTGATGTTTTGAGTCTGTATGTGCGGCGTTTAACACCAGCTGCCAGTGTTGTAACTATCTCTTGCAGTGTCATTATCCAGTCTGGAACAAGTGCTCAGGATTGGCTAATGTAAATTCTGTGTATATTACTTCGTAGATGCTAATTCATTGGTTGAGAGAAATAAACTGACACTTATCCAGTGAATGACCCAGGACCAAGGTGAGAGTGCAAAATGATTTGCGCCATTACTGAAAAACTACCCAGGGTGCTCCTCGCATCGTAGCCACTAAAATGGGATATAGTGGTTATGATGAATGTTGTAACTCTTTTTTAATAGAATGGCTGTTCTTCTTAACACAGAGTGACTTTTTAAAATCAATTTATAAAGTTCTGTTCAATGCACAACCATGCAATTGTGTAAGAATTTATTCATAATGCTGCTTGGGGAACCATTTGCCCTATTTGGCTTTACAATTATGGCATAAGGTGGTTTTCATTAAATGTACACATAGCTTAAATCTTATTAACAAAATAAAAATTAACTAATTTATACGAAACATCTGGCACAACAGGAGGAACAGTAGACATTGTGGAAAGTGAGTCTGAGACTGATCATGGAGATGGACTTCTCGATCCTCACTCTGGTGGGCGCCTAACCAGAGAAAAGATGGTTTATATGGCTGTAAATCACTCACAGAATGAAGACAATGACCTTGGTCAGTACCACTTTTAGATTTAAAAAATATATATATATATTTATATTTATTTTTTTTTTCTTCCTGAGGTCTTGTCTGCTGTCCTTAAAATAGTGTAGCAATGTTATTAAAATTACAATGCATTTCTTTTCGATTGGCTTTCCCTCTAGTTCCCTTGGCTATTGTTAATTTTACTGTACATATTGCACAATCTTTATGTAGATTCCAAGTAGGTATGCAGCAATGTGATAGTGTGTGTGTGTATTTGTTAAAACAGATATACTTGAAAAATGAGCCCAGTAATCTCATTTTACTTTTTTTATTACTGATTCTCAATTTATGCCTCTTTAATTCTTCTTTATCTAGATGTAGCAGAGATAGCAGATGAAGTGTATATGGAAGTAATTGTTGGGGAGGAAGATGCTTCAGTAACACTAGATCATCAGCTGGATGATGCTGAACTGAGCAAGACATTCATGCCAGTTGCCTGGGCTGCAGCTTACGGTAACCTTTCCAGCTAATTTATATTTCATCATATTCAAAACTAGTTATCCAGTATTCTATAGCCTGCACTTGCTGCTCAAAAAAGTTGCACACCTAAAGCAAAGGGTGATATATTGGCACTGTCTCTAATATTTATTTTTTATTTTTGTTATGCTAACCAAATTCCTAGCTAGCGAAATAAATTATTTATTTTTTATCTCTTGATTTTTTTTTGATTTTTTTTCTTTGCTTTTGCTGGTGGTGCAAACTACACATTTGCTTGCCATGATGGATGTGCAAAAAAATTATCTAAGGCGGTGGCCATGTTTATAGAGAAGGCAGTAAACTTCTCTAAACTTAAATCTATATAGCTATCTGCTATTTAGCTTGCACAATAAAATATCAATACCGTCCTAATGTAGGCCTTTAATAACTGTTGTTTGTTTAGAAGAAAACATCAACAACTTAATTCTGTACATCACCAGTGAACAGTGTTGCCGGAAAAAAATAATAATAATAATTTGATGATCTCAATACAATGCCTTCCCATATGAAAGCATTGGGAGGCGATTGTGCAGGCACAGCAAAACGCTAAGTTGCACCAATCAGCAGCTCTTCAGACGTGCATCGAATCAATCAATTTATTTAGCGTCTCCATACAGAGCGACTGCCACTAGAGGTGTTCCTAGGCAGTAATGTAAACACTGCCCTCTCTCTGAAAAGGCAGTATTAACATTAAAAAGCCTGCAGGGACAGGCTATAGACACCAGAAAAACGACATTAAGTAGTTGTTCTGGTGACTATAATGTCCCTTTAACTTACAACTTCTTCAACAGAAAGATCTTTTATTTACAAAGTTCAGCATGCTCTTTGTTTTTCAATTTGTTGAAATTTGCTTTAAGCCCTTAGGGACAGAAGAAACTGTCCAACATCTGAACCAAAACAAAACCTAGAATTTGTGCTGTGTGTTTGATCTACTAAAATATAAGGGTTTTTCTTTAAGTACAACCACTTTTCCCATTTCCCATTTTACTTGTGATAACATGACAGTGGGAAGTCCCAGGTATTGATTTAAATATGGGTCTCCCTTTTGTGAGCAGGAATTTAACCATGCTCATACCAATTCCCTGTTTTAAAAGCTGTATACAGTTCATCTGTCAGTCTGGGGCCACTAAATAACGTATCGGGTTCTCTCTGATGTGAGAAGGGTTTTAAATCCTGCTTACATCAAAACTTTAGGACCTTTCATGCTCTCCTAACGGCGTTAAAGCCAACTCTTTTGGAGGACAACATGGAGAGTCCTAGCGTTGTCAAGGGGTTAATGCCTCTGTTGATTCTATTATTTTTATGTTCTTATTAACCATTGTTGCCTTTCTCATAGGTAATAACATGAGTAACAGTGTGGAAGGGGTTGAGCACAGGAATGGAACTGCTAGTGCCCTTTTGCACATAGATGAATCTGATGGGCTGGACAGACTATCTAAGCAAAAACCAAAGAAGAAGAGGAGAGGAGAAAATAGGCAATATCAAACAGGTCTGTCATTTGGTTTCAGAGAGGGTTTAAAGTAGTCTTCACTAAACTTTACAACAAACTCAAAAATCTTACAGTCATAAAAACATACATTTTATGTGTTTTTAATACAATTTGTCTTTGCATGTGTAATGCATTTGAACAGTCTGGGCTGGTACTACATTAAGTTTAATGTGCTGGTTCCTGAGGACTCTTTGAACAGGGCTGGTTGGGGTAATTCTTTCCTGATCAGCCCATTACAGCGCATGCTGCCTCTTGCATATTCAGAGACAAACTACTTTTATGCTGCATTTCATATATAATTTCATATTACTTAGACTTGACTCATTCTACCAGGAAACAGACTCACTGTACTGGATTAATAGGAATGCCACTTGTGCCCAATACGTAGCATTCATAAGCAGTGCAATAGAAAAAGGTTTATCTTTATTTATTGTATACACGTTATGCAATATATAAAATGGCTGAAACTGAACACCCTGGAGTGAGCCACATACTAACATAGTTCAGTATAAACACTGAACACAATTTTTATTTATTTTTTTTATCCTACAAGCGGACACATTTTGACTGAAAAGCTTGTGATTTTGCATACCAAATGTTATATTTTATAAAGTGCTCTTGTCTGACATACTGTTGTCTAAAAAAATTATATATTTTTTCTTTGATAGCCATAATTATTGGTCCTGATGGCCATCCACTTACTGTTTACCCATGTATGATCTGTGGCAAGAAATTTAAGTCAAGAGGCTTCCTGAAGCGGCACATGAAAAATCACCCAGAGCACTTGGCCCGGAAAAAATATCGCTGCACAGATTGTGACTACACCACCAACAAGAAGGTGAGCCTGCACAATCACCTGGAGAGCCACAAGCTGACTGCTGCTGTAATCAAAACAGAGAAGGAACTGGATTGTGATGAGTGTGGGAAGGTATTTTTGCACAGCAATGCTTTGTTTGCCCACAAGCTCACCCACAAAGACAAAGCTGGCAATAAAATGCACCGGTGCAAGTTTTGCGACTATGAAACAGCAGAACAGGGTTTACTGAACCGTCACCTAATGGCTGTACACAGCAAAAGCTTCCCACACATCTGTGTTGAGTGCGGGAAAGGTTTCCGCCACCCGTCTGAGCTAAAGAAGCACATGCGCACACACACTGGTGAGAAGCCTTACCTGTGTCAGTATTGTGACTACAGGTCAGCTGACTCCTCCAACTTGAAGACTCATGTCAAGACAAAGCACAGCAAGGAGATGCCCTTCAAGTGCGACATCTGCCTGCAAACATTTGCTGATTCTAAAGAACTGCAGGCTCATGCCATCTTGCACCAGGAAAGCAAAAGTCACCAGTGTCTGCACTGCGACCACAAAAGTTCCAACTCCAGCGATCTAAAGCGACATATAATCTCTGTGCATACCAAGGACTATCCTCACAAGTGTGAAGTGTGCGAGAAGGGCTTCCACAGACCCTCTGAGCTCAAGAAACACGAGGCTGCACACAGGGGAAAAAAGATGCATCAGTGTAGACACTGTGAGTTTCAAATTGCTGATCCTTTTGTCTTGAGTCGACATATCCTGTCTGTCCACACTAAAGAGTTACCTTTTAGGTGCAAACGTTGCCGAAAGGGCTTCAGGCAGCAGACAGAACTAAAAAAGCACATGAAGACTCACAGTGGTAAGAAAGTATACCAGTGCGAGTACTGTGAATACAACACCACAGATGCTTCTGGCTTTAAACGCCACGTCATCTCCATTCACACCAAAGACTATCCACATCGCTGTGACTACTGTAAAAAAGGTTTCCGTCGGCCTTCAGAAAAGAACCAGCATACCATGAAACATCATAAAGAGGCTTCATTAGCATGATCTAGTCTATTCTAGACATTCAAGTGAATACTATAAACCCACCCGTTCTTGTAAAGGAGACTGTATATTATTTGTTTTGGTTATGCAGTTTTCATGTTTCTAAACAGCTATTATTTTTCTACATCCGTCGTGCTCTTTGTTTTACAAATTAATTGAGTTGCAAAGCTCAGGGCAGTGATGTAGATGTTTATTTTTTTTCTCAATACTTAAAATCTTGGGACAGAAGGAAGTATCAAAATTGTGGTTTATCTTGGGAAAAGCTGCTATGTTTTGCTAAGGGTAGATGTGCATTTTATTTAATTATTCGTTCCTGAAGATTAAAAACTAGATGTGCTACCTGCAACATTTGACAAGGCATCAAAAGCTAACCTAGCAGGAAACTGTTATTTGCTGCGTTTAATAGGCTTTGGGAGCTTGGTTATGTAGCAGATAGTTGTGTTTTGTGTTTGTTTTCTACAATGTTAAATAAATATCTCCATGCACCAGTTGTGTAAGGTTGAAAGGTGGAAATAACTGTATAATGTATTGGCTGATTAAATTCTGATCAGTAAATTAGCTTAAAGGGTTATTTCAACCAAATAAGTGTTTTTACAAAACCTTTGGTTAGAGTTACCCTTTTTGAAATGTTGTGCCCCTCCACCCTGTTTAAGAAAAAGAAAAAAAAAAACACTAAAACTCACCTCTGTACCATAGCCAAGTCCACGTTCTTCCTGCAGCTCGATCCTCCTTGCCTGTTTTCACTCAACCTTGCTGGAGGGTTAGGGAAGATGGGGGCAGCATGGGAGGGATTGTCTGGCGGCAGCATGCAGTGCGCGCTGGCATCAGACGCCAATTTTGCACATGATAGACATTAGCCAGGCCAGAATGGTGTTCTTGGCTGGCTAGTGAGCTCCCAGAGATGGAGTTACACCTCCAGTAGCTAAGGGGTTAATCTCTGTGTGTGCAGCATTTCAAAGCGAAACCCTCCACATACAGTCTCCAGGCACAAGTGACCTCTTCAGAATCAATGAAGTAGTCATGGTGCTCGTGGTAACCCTCTAATTACCTAAAGGTGCAATTTTCATTCTAAAAGCAATATCTGAATGCTTTCCCAATAATTGTTTCCTCATTTAAAAATTCCCTCAAGATACTACTTTTTCATGTGTGCTTGTATAAAGCATCTGTCACTTTTGAGTGTCTGGAAATGATAAAATTGTTTATGATATATTCATATTGGCTGCTTTGGAATTTGTTTGAAATTACAATGCAGTCAAGATATCATAAGACAAAGTAGGGACTATTTGTCTAATGGTCAGACTAATTTGTTCAAAGGCAGAGCTTGCCATCAGTGGAAAACTGGCATCTTTCTGTGCATTGCGAGAGTTATTCCGTGGAGGTTCTCACCGGATCCTCCCAAGACCTCCACGTTTTGTTGTGAGGGAGTGCTTCAGGTAAGTATATCTGCTGCAATAGAAATGGGCATGTCACTTTTCAAAAATTGCAAAAAACAAACAATAAAAAAAAACAAATTTTAACATTCACTTTAAAAGCAATTGTATTTACACCAAAAATAATTTTTTTTATTATTTCATTTTTTTTTTCAGTTTATTTTCCACGAATTACATTGCTGTTCTCTTCAAGTAAATTTTTCAGTCAGTGTTATGCAAGCAGGTTTTTAATTTTATTGTTTACCCTTTTACAAGGCACCTGTTGGCTGAATTTGTATATAGAGTACGTCCCAGTGTTTTATTTGATAAAAATTTTTATAACTTTTTTTTTTTTTTTTTTAAACAAAAATATATTTCACACGTGTCGTAAAAATGGCAATTGCTTGCTCTTGTAGTGTAACATTTTAGAAAGGTTTTTTAGACAAAATTGTAGTACAGCTTCAGTAGCTTTCTGTTTTATCCCAGTATTACAAGCAGTCTGTAAATTCACATAGCATTAAATAATCGCATTTCTTTTTAGGCTAGTGGAAGATTTCTAACCTTTGATGACCTACTAATATGTGGGGACCTTTTTTTTTAATTTTTTTTTTTATTATTTTTATTTTATTTTTTGGCTCCTTTCCAAATTGAATGTTTCAAGCTTAAGTGCACTGTGCAGTTCTGTAATTATCTGTACACTTGTATATCTTGGTGCGGCTGTCAGTCTGTGAGTAAAACTCGACTGTTTGTATTTCAAGCTTCTGGTTGGCAGATCGTATTGTATTCCAGCCCCTTTGGTGTAAATGTGAAATAGTTGTAATTTGACATTGTTGCATGTATAATTAACCTGTGTATCCTTGTTGAGCCTTCTGTTTTGAAAGACTGTAAATGTGAGCAAATTTTATGGCAATTTGACTGTATTCTGGTTCCCAATCTTTGAGAGGCTTTCATTTTAATTGGGGGGATTTTTTTTTTTTTTTTTTTATAATCTTCAAACTTGTTAGCACTTTTAAGACTGGTATAAAGATTGATCACGTACTCCATTTTACAGTACTAAACTGGCATTGCATGAGTAATTCAATATGGTGGCCATTATTTAATTTCAAAACAACCCACAAAGAGGCACAATGAGACTTGAGTGCATGTCGCGCTGAAACACTTTAAAATCTCCAACGATATTCAGTGTTTTTTTAAAATGTTTAAGCGGATATTCCACACTTAAAGATAGAAAACTTTTACACACAAAAATTAGCACATCTAAATGTTTGGTTTAGCATATAGCACTGCCAATTAATGCCACACTGATACTTACTTGCTTTATTTTAAAAGAATGGCAAGTTTATTAGGGGGGGTGGGGCTATGATATTTTTTTTTTTTTGTTTTTCTCTTTTGGACTCCAGAGGTTGAGCTGTTAATTCCTCAACTATCTGTTAATCTCAGTGTTAAATCCAAACCAGAATGTACATAACAGACTGAGACTTATTTCAAATTCAAGGACAATGATGTTTAACCGTGGCATTGCAGTTGTTTGTAAATTGCCCATATGCACCTGTAGTGCCAAGATTAGCATCATTAGCCTAGTCGATTAGACCTTATTTTTAGGAGTTTCAATGATGCGAGCTTAATTTTAAATTTTAGTGAGAAAATAATGCTGATTTTCTTAACATTAAAATAAGATCTATGGGAGAAAACTGCACATTTTAGCTGTGGAAGATTACAATTTGCCTGAAATGTTTCACAATTTTTAAACTTGTACAATTATTTTTATAATTAATTTATATAGCACTAATAGATGCCATAGCAATATTATGATTTCTGCACCAGAGAAACCATTGGGAATATCTGCAGTGCAGGTTGAACTTTACATGGTTTTCTTTATGCCCTTAACAGCAGGTAGAATATCAGTGCTAATTTTCACAAAAGATTACAGTATATACAGTTGTGTTTTTTTTTTTTTTTTTTGGTTTTTTTTTTTGTTCATCACAAGAACGGGGTTGTATAAATTTATGTACATTGCCTTTTTTTTATTTTTTAAGCACAATATTAGGCCATTGTTTTAAACAATGACTTAATGATGTGGATTATGTAAAATATTTTGTCTGTATAAAGAGATTATAGTTATTGTTTATGTAAGTTCTTTAGCTACTTTTTTTTATTTTAATTCATGATTTAAATTTGTTTGCTACTTTTTTTTGCTAAATGTTTGAGGTACATATTTTTTTTTTTTTACATAAACGTGTAAATTATTAGCCACACTCTGTAAAATATTGTATTGTCCCAATCCTCTGTACAAATGTGTATAAAAAGTAAAGCGATATCAACATAGGGATGTGAAATGACATTGTAATGGTGTAATTGATAACGTGAAAAATAAAATCAGAGTATTTTCCTGTTAGTGTATGGATAGAGTGCTTGATTTCCAAAATCAAACTTTACTTATGTAGAGCTATATATTTTACTATTGGAAGCACTCCTTTAGATAGAGTATTATGCCAAGCATATCAACACTATATAAATCAGCGGCATAATGGAACTACCAGTCCATGGGCCATTTGCAACCCCTAGTCTCCTTGTGCCCTGTCATGTGTGAGGAAGCTTCCAGCACCTACAGAGAGATACTGTACACCTGAAAATTGCGTGAAATCTTGGAGTATATTGTTACGTTCGTTAGGGGTTAAAAGGCAAAAAAAAAAAAATTGAAAATAAAAAATCGTTTATAACATTGTTTAAAGTTCCTGTGTAAAAAGTTCAAAGTGCTTAGGAAGTTCAGTGCCAAGGAGGCTTACAGAATTCTGAAAGCGGACTCAGAGGTGACAGACAGCACTTCAGTTTGACGCAGGTTAATGCAAATATTACATTTTGCCTGATTCTGCAGGGCCCACAGCAGAAAGATATAATTCTCCTACAGTTGCCTGTGATGCAAATGACTGGGTGCCTCCTGATAACTGTATGCCAAATATTCCCCCATTCACTGCAAAAATTAATTCGCTTTTCATAATTTGAATTGATAAGCTTCTTATATCTAAAATTAGATGTTACCTTTGTGAGGTAATTTGCAATCATGAGCTGCTAAAATGCTTTGCGGGGTAGTTTGAACTGGAAACCTGCTAAAATGCGACATGGACCCAGCATTGCAGTCAAAGTCAAAGTTTTTAAAAAAAAAAATAAACCTGAAATGGATGTGTCTCAAATTTTCCCCTTCAATATGCACATATACTTGGCAAAGGTACACACAACTTCACAAAATAGTGTCTAGGTCATATATTGAACAAAATGTTTTACTCAGAAGATATCATTGGACATACTTTGGGGGGTTTCATGACAGTATCACATACCAAATGAACAAAATACCCAGCATAAAAGTATGTAAAAAAAACAATATTTTCCCAGCTCAAACTGACATAAATTGGTGAAAAAATGGTGGCAAATTAAGGCACAACAAACATCACTTGAGATACTCTGGAGTATCTACCTTCACAAATAGTGGGCCTTTATGGGGTTATTTGAACAGGAAAACTACTATAATGCTCCAAAATGATACATAGGTCCACCAGATCAATCTCATAATTCTACTGTAAAAACTGAAATGGTCAGGACTCCTATATGGCAGTGTAACTTCACAAAAATGTCCCAAAGACATACATTGGGGGTATTTTTTATTCAGAAGAGTTAGGTGAGCATAATTTGGGGTTTTGATCATAGTGGCACATATCATATATACAAAATGCCCAGCAAAAATAATAATGTGTATGTCAAAAATGCTAAAAATATTGGCTGTATGTTAAGGCACAATACACGCCATAAGAGATACCTTGGAGTGTCTGCATTCACAATGCTTTTGTGTGAATATTTGAGCTGTCAAACTGCAATAATGCCCCATAATGAGACATGGGACCAACAAATCCATCTATAAAGATTCTAACCATAGAAACTGAAATAGCCTGGTCTGTAGCATGGCATTTTAGTTTTACCAACTAGTGCCATAGGCATACAATGGGGGTATTGTATTCTGCAGATATAGTATGAACACAGTATTGCGTTTTGTACAGGAATAGCATACATCAGCTTTACAAAATATACATAAAAATATCTTGTTATATGTGGGAATGTCATAAAACAGAAAAAACAAATTTTATACAATATTTAGCAGAAATTTGCGATGAATTGGCTACTAAAAAGTGTCAAAATACCCTTAGGTAAATAGCCTATGATGTCTACTTGATATAAAATACTTTTGTCAGTCTTTTTGTTATATCTATCAAAGGAACACTATACTACAAACACTAATCTATTAAAACACCATATCTCTCCCTCCCTTCCCCCCCCCCCTAAATCTAGTAATACCATACTTTTGTTCCAGTCTGCTGACGCTGACTCTGCCCCGATCTGCCTGCTTGGCTGACATCATCAGAAGTTATGATCTGAGCCAATCACAATGCTTTCCAATTTGAAAGCTTTGGATTGTCTGAGGCAGATCATGAGCAGAGCCAGCACAAGCTAAACACAGCCCTGGCCAATCAGCATCTCCTCGCAGAGTGAATCAATGCATCTTTATGAGGAAGGTTCATCGTCTCCATGTAGATGGTGGAGACACTGAATGGCAGTGCTGCACACACTGCCCCAGGAAGCACCTCTAGCATCCATATGTGGAGGTGTCCCTAGGCTGTAATGTAATCACTGCCTTTTCTCTGGGGAAAAAACAGTGTTTACTGCAATAAGCTGTAGTTGTTCTGGTGACTATAGTATCCCCTTGAGCTTACTAGACAAACATACCAACTTTTGAAATTGTATTTTACTCCTGGTCTTTTTTGGCCTGTCACTATCAAAATAAGCTGAAATCCTATACATATTATGTACTTTGAAAATTAGGACAAATAAATACATTTTCTTTGAATTACTTTTCTTAAACTGCTCTTATTACGCACACATTATTATTGCCTAAACTGTGAATAAAATGTTTTGTTTAGGGGTTTTTTTTTGGGGGGGGGGGGCATTTATATTAATAAATGAGAATTTGTATATGTCACATCAGGCTAAAGTCCTTTTTTTAAAATGGTACAGAATATGTGTTGGTGCGATAAATGAGAAAAATGCAAATTGTAATTTAAACACAAACTGCAAAAAAAAAATGCTTGTGTCCTTAAGTGCTTCTGAAGGCTTCTGAAGCTGTGACCTTAAAAGGACAATATAGGCACCCAGGCCACTTTAGCTCATTGAAGTGGTTTGGGTGCAATGTCCCAGTACCCCTTAGTCCTTTCGCTGCACATGTGCATTAGCACTCTCTCCCCTCCCCCCCTGTGGAATTAGCTATACTTAATGTCTAGGCTTAACTACATATGAGCTTGATGTCAATTTTTTCTACAAGTGTTCTAGATTGTAAGTATTACTGCGAGGAGTCTGAGATTAAAGAAAAGTTTTGATGAACTGATGAAGAGCTCTGAGTGACTGGTTGACAGGTTCCTTTTTAGTTGCCAAGCTAATCTAAGCAAAATCCATCAGTCAAATTAATCCCACAAAAAGACAATCTGCAGACATCATGGACAGAGTGAAATGGCATGGAGATTCCCAGATACTGAGAGAAGTCACAAGGTCAACTGAAGATTGAAGCTAAAGACGTCAAACAAATAGATTCCACACAACGAGGGACTGTCCACTTTCCAAAGAATTGATTTTTAGTATTCCAATGCAACTGTGTGTATCAATGGTGATAAATCTCTTACAAGTATTACAAAGAACAGGATCAGAGCATTCCATCTGTGATATGCATCCGTTAATTGGAATAGGCGCACACAATGATAAGGTTTCGACAATGCTGTGTGGTTTTTATTAATCTAATATCCATTACACATATTAATGAGAATACAACCAGAGGCGCTCTCTAATTAGGCGGCCGCCTAAGGACTTGCGCTGGCTGGGGCCTCGCGGCCGCCTAAACCACCTTAGGGCAGACGGCCGGCAAAAAAACCACTCCTTGGTCAGTGACCGAAGACCCAACACCAGGAGGGGGACCCGGCGGCTTGCTCAGTATGCCATCTGGTGCGAGGCCCCTCTTGTCTGCCCGTCCAGCAATCGCAGACACCGGTCTGCAGAGCTGCAGACCATATGTCTGGCAAGAACTTGCCAACCAGAGCGTTGCCGCAGGTTACCACGGCAACGCTCTCATGGGTCTCGCAAGATACATGGTCTGCAGACTGGATATAATGGCCACCGGACCACCATGGTATATAAAAAGGGTATTTATTCCCCCGCTCTCCCCATCACCCCTCCTCCCTCTCACATTACCTCCCTCACACCATCACTCCCTCTCACCATCATCCCTCTCACCATCATTCCCCTCCCTCCCTCTCACCATCACCCCCTCCCTCTCATCATCACCCCCCTCACACCATCACTCTCTCACACACAGTATCATCCCCTCACACATAGCCTCCCCAGACACACTGTTAGCAACCCCTCACACAGTCACCTCCCCACACATTGTCACCCCTTCCTACACTGTCATCACCCCCACACACACTGTCAGCCTATTTATGCATCCACACTCACATTAACCACTCCTAATCCTGTTAATCTCACCCCCTCCAAATTTACCTGACCTCACTCTGCCACACTCACTCTGTCACATTAACCACCCTTAATCCTGTCACACTCATCCCTCCTACCATGCCACAATCACCCTGTCACACTCCCTCATCAAACCATGTCATACTCCCTGTCCCTCATTCTCTCTCACAATCCCCCCTTCCACCTTGTCCATTTACCCCCTTCACGCTGCTACACTCTCCCTGCCACTAGTACCCCTTTATTCACATTGTCACAGTTACCAGCTGAAGACATTCATCATACACACACAGTCAGGAAACATAGCTTTGCCATAAACACAATGCATAAAGGCTGCAGGCAGACCCCTATACACAC